CTGACAAACTCACACACGCCAAGCTCGTCTTACATAATCAGTTAAGTGGCACACATATACGTGCACCTAGGGACGAAAAAATAGGTCCGGAAAGCTTATGATTTATTAAGAAGACGTTGTCGGAACTGATAGTTGGAGAAGACCCTATATCCTTGACCATCACTGTACATATGAGCTGGGCTCAATAGATATAGCTGGGAATATGGAGTGGCTCCAGCCTGCCACACAACAATATAAAAGTGAAAAATGAGTTTGCTCAAGTTTTCCCCTTCAAGCTGGAATAGTCTGAGAAAAAAAATGTTTTAGTTTCGCCTCGGCCTGACATCGGAGTTCTGGTGCTGTTGCTCCTGGTGCTGCAAAACCAATTTGTCTTATTGCAAGATTTATGAAACATTTGCCCTCCAGGACAAAAAAGGCATGAAAAAGCTACTAGGTTCCTAAGCGGAGCAAATACGTTTGGCCTAAATCCGAGTTAAGCTGTTAATTAGTCGCAACGATCAAAGGAAACAGGCAGCCAACTACCAGAGGCAGATTCGGATCATATCCTTTGCTACCCCATCCCACATCCTTCGTCCTTGTGCTGTTGCATTTTCGTGCTGTTCATTTCATAAGCGATTCCCGGCAATTTTTAAACCCCTCTCTCCCATCTCAGGCAAATTCCATTCGAATACATGCATGCAGGCAATTTGCTGTGTGTACGTGGCCAGGACTCACGCTCGACTCCTGGCACAAAGGAATTAAACCAGCCAGCGATTGGCAAGGACGGAATACACTGACAGGTAGATAAGTGGGCGTGGTCCTTCGGCCGGTAACAAAAGGAGGAACATAAATAAGAGTAAAGAGCAAACTTGGCTCAGGAATCATAAGTTTTCCGGTTTTCCCTCGACTTTTTTTTGGAATGTCTAGTTGGGTCATATTTCCTTTTCTTCGGAGCAGCGGCTGTGTCACTCCTGGGAAATGCAAGAAAATTGCAAGTTTCAGACTTTTCAGCTGTTGAGGTTCCCTGCCTGGTCTTCTCTTTTTTTCGATTCCTCTCTGGCATGCAATATGCAAATCTGCCTCTGCCAAAGAACCGTGGGAATGTGTCTGTGACTGGGAATGGGAATGGGAATGAGAATGGAAATGCTAATGAAACCCCAAACCGAACTCCCCACCAGACTCAGCACCAGAACTTCGCTTTAAGCTCCCTGGCTGATGCCACCTGAGTTTCCAGCCCCCTAAATAGGTGCTAATGCCGGGCCAAATAGCCAAAAACAGCCGAATACTTGTGTAGTTAACTTTTACGGGCATTTTTATAACTTCTCGGGCCATGATGTCCTTGCCGATGCCGCCATAGTCTAGTTAGCATGTTGGAAAGTTCCTCAGCAGGACTGCGTGTTGGCAATTTATGCAACAGTTTGACGACATAAAAGTTTATTGCATAACTTCCACTACACACACATTTTATTTAAGACCCTGGATGTCAGGGTGCTGGTCTGTTTGAGGATTAGGGGTCAAGCGGATGCTGATGCCGAGAACAGACATTATCTGTCTCGGGGGCTGGTGTCCTGGCTCATAAAACCAAATCCCGAACTGACCAGCAGGGGAAGCACTTTGTGTCTAAAAGTAAAACTGTAATTTGCACACATTCTGATTTAGTTTTCATTTTTGTGATTTAAGGTGGAATATCCTCCTGGTGCTTGGCTCCTGCCTCCTGCGTCCTGTTGGCCTGCTCAGATCTAAGTGGCGCTTATACAAAATTATGCATATCAACTTTATGGCTGGTAGCTATTTCACACACAAAAACACTCACTATCTACACCATGCGAGAGCATGTTTACATCTCCCCCCGAAGGGAGCTCCGTTTTGCATATATTACGCACCATAGATGGATCCTGTCGGCTGCCTCAGCTTATTTTCCGTTATTTCCATTTCCATTCACATTTTATTTTTATGCTGCTGCAGCTATATATATAGTACAATTTCCCAACAGCTCCCAACTCCCAGCTCTCAGCTCTCAAATTGCAAAGTGCACAATGCAAAGATTTATTTTCTGCTGACAAACAGAGCAGCGTTTGCGGGGTAATCGATGGATAAGAGCATTTCGCCAGCCCGGCCCTGTCGGAATCTGACTTGCCGTTTGTATGGCTGATTATGTACAGGAACTGGCTATGAATGGCAAATCAAAACGAATTCCTTGCGATCTAAACTAATTTATTATCATTTTTATGACTAATGCAAAGCTTACAAAACGGATCGAAATCGAGGCCCGGCCCGGGAAATGGAAATGTATCTGGATGCCATGCATAAATCATAACCAATGTATTTGTATTTGTATCTATATCTGTGTGGGCTTGTGTGTGGGCCGTGCTTTTGTGCTTGATTAACGTCAACTGTTTATGGTTATTTATTTTGTGCTGCATACTTTGAGGGGGGCATTTCCTTTCTGTGGGGATTACTTCCGCCAGCGCCTCCTCCTCTGGCAGATAACTCTGCCAAGCAAATTACCTTGCTTAGTATACAAACACAAAAATGATTTCATTTATTTATACGGCCCAATACAGTGCCTGTTTCTGTAGCTTGAAGCTTAAACCTAAGCTGGGAAATTGTTTGCCTTTACTTTTTTACGATTTTTTGTTTGTCTTGTGCTTAAACTTTTGCTGACTTCTTCGAGTTTTGTGCCCTGGAAACTTTTCAATTAAAAAACAAATCAAGAGGGGTCGTCACACAGGCATTTCGGAATGCCAAGCATGTGTCAAAACTCAGAAATCACAAAAATCGCACTTAACTGGAAACAATTTGGCTACATCAACTTTTCAAATAATTTATGCCGTTTGGTCAAAACTTTTCTTAATAAAAAGTCAAATTCATTGTCTGTCAGAATGAGAGTACGATTAGCCAGACTGCAGAGCTATAAAAAATAAATGCTGTAACTTATAAAAAATAAAGTACAGAGAGAAAAGAGAATAAGATGACATCAAAGTGAAATTTATGCGGAAACAAAAGCCCAGGCTGAGGCCGGAGCTGTAAATTGCTTGGTTTTGCTCGTTTTGTATGTAACACACGCGCAGGACCCACAAGGACACATGTGGATTCGTTTTTGGAAACTGTTTAAAATTCTGCGTATGCCTGTGCCCTGGGAAAAAAAATTTTCTTATGCCTTTCTTTCTTAAATTTTGTTTCTCATTCTATTTTTTGCTATGGAAACTTTTCCGATTCGCAATAATTTTGCTTGAAGGCCGCCTGTCTTTCGGTGCGTGCGTGTGTGTATGGGTGTGTGTACGTTTAACGGCACACACTGCCATTTTGGGCTATTAGCACACACACACACTCGCGCAAACCCACACCCACAAGCACGCACACTTAGAGGGCCAAGAATTCAACAATGGCCGAGCAAGGCAAAGCAAAGAGCAAAAGAAAATGGGAAGGAAGCGCTGAGAAATAAAACCAAAATGGCAAACAAAACAAACACACCACACAAAACGGAATACAACGAAAAATACAATAACAAAAAGAACTAGTCCGAAGGAAATAAAAGAAACCCAGAAAAAAGCGCCTAGCAAATAGTACAGTTAAAAAAAATAACTAAACTTTACAAATAAACTTTAAAAACTAGATTTCGAGAATTAATAGTCACATCCTTTCCTTCTAATTCAGTTAAATAGGGTTGTCATTCTTTTTAAAGATTAAAGCTCTATTGAGAATAAAGTTAGTTAAAGTATAAAATATTAAAGACTTCTAAAAGCTAACATTTTAACTCAAAAACCCATATCTAATATTCAAAATCCCTGACATCCCTGTGTATCTGCCCATGGAAGAAAAGTTAAAAAAGACAGCGTCGACATTGCGTCTGTGAATAACAGTCATCGATGAGGGCCTGTGGGTGGCTTAGCCTGCCAGTTGGGTGGGTGGCAGTTCGGGTGGTGCGTGTTGGCAGCCAGACCGGGCGAAAGCAGCTTAGAGCTTACTTCATAGTTTACGCGCAGCCAAACGACAACAAGACAACTGCCAAATGCTATTGATTTTCCTTTTTCTTCTTGGCTCTTGGCTCTTGTCTCTGGCTTCTCTGGTGTCCTCCTCGATTTGGGTCCGATTCCGTCCCCGGATAGGCTCCCGATATGTGGGCTTCCCCCGCTCCCCTACCCGGACAGGCAGACAGGTGCGTGCTAAAGACCAGAACAAGCAAACTCGGAGTCATGGATAGCAGGCTCAGCCGGGTCAGGAGAAGTGTACCAACTACTACAAATCGGATTTGTGTGAGTAATTGGCACGTCGGATTTCTTTTCTTTTTGTTTTCTCTTTGTTTTTGGGCCTGAAAGTATAGTGCAGGGGGTGGAGCTGGAAAAAAATACAAACAAACAACAACAACAACAGGAAGTTGTTGGTGCGAAACCTCAGCAACGACGGGTAGAGTGAAAAGTTGGGCAAATAAAAGCGCAATTGCGTTATATTATATATGGAACACATAGCATGGCACGCAGGGGAAAAAATTATTTTTAAATGGGAACTTTTTATGGCCCAGTCCAGGGAGGACTAACAGACCAATCATAAAAACAGTATCACATCAATAATAGCCAGATTTAAAGCAATTACAACTATAAAAGCTATTTTTATTTTAAAATATTTCAAGGAACTACCATAGACTATTAATACCACTATGCTATAGATTCTAGAGCACATCCTCACAGTTCACTGTACTTCATTGCCCTCTTTTCAGGGCAATCAAAATTCAGTACTCATTCAATAATCATTAATTTCACAGGACAGTTCTGATAATGATCTGTGATTTTTTCCCTGTGCATACACACAGTCAGTTGCTCCTCGGAGGGTAGTTAAATGTCGGCAGTCAGCTTAAAGCGTATTAAGGAGGAGACAGACAGGAAGGCGGAGATTGGGACTCAGACGGAGAAACAGACTTGCGGGATGGAAAGGAAACCGAGACGGAGACGTAGGCGGACATGGAAAAGGAGACCCAGCCGGAGACAGTAAATGGGGCTACTGTGAAGCCATTTGGGACTTACCTCATCGATAAACTCAAAATCGCCGCCCGTCTCGCCGACGTACTTCTTCTTTCTGGCCTCGGAGCTGCCAATCAGGCTGGATGACATCAACACCAGTGCCAGACAAACGCTGGCAATCAGCGGCGAGTGCTTCATGGTGTTCGGAAACAGGAACAGGAACAGGAGATGGCTGGAGCTGCGTCTATGAGCTTTGGTGGCGGTAACAGTTAACGGTTAATGGTAACCGTGGTCCTGCTGGTTCTAAGGGAAGTTCTCTAAGCGATTCGCCCTGTGGGTGTGTTGACAAGTTCCGCTAACGCAGTGTTTAATCGCTGTCCCCTGGAAAAGTACGGACGCCTCCTCCGGTTTACGCACCAACACGCACTCTCACTGGCACACACACACTCTCTCTGTTGTCTCGCACACTGACGCAGCGATAACTATGAATGACAATGAGTTTTGGTCTTGCTTTGCAATCGCAGGCGCCTCCGCGTTGGATGCAGTGCAGCCTGGTCACGGAACTCTGGTGAACTGAACTGAAGGCGACGCGGCCGAAACGTAAACTGAGCGCCTCCGAGTCGGATTTCTTTCTAAGTGGCAGCCATCGCGTCGAGCATGGAGCAGTATTGGAATTTTGCGACACCAATGCCGAGAGGTCTAAGAGTGCACAAGGATGTGCTAAGAGAGGAGCTGGAAGCTCCTGGCAGTTCTAGGGTTGCCAGCCAAATAGTAGGAATAGTCGTTTAAATTAATAAAAGTGTTATATTTGATTAAAATGGTATTTAATCTTAATTTTTATTTATAAGAAATATCCTTTTAATTATCCTTTCAAAAATATTAACCCTAATGAAACCAAATATCTAGAAACACTCGACTTTCATCCCACAACGTTCAGTGTACTGCACTGCGTATGCGCAATATGGCCAGGGTCTCCTTTCTCTCTTCCCCTCTCTCTCTCTAACAGGCCACTCTGAACTCCACCACCACCCTCTAGCACTACTACCAGGCTTTTCCAGACAGCCACCACCAACAAACAGACTGGCATTCGTCCAAAATCGATTTTCCGGACTCTCTTCTAGAACTAGCAGCGCTCAGAGTTCTGGAATCCCAGACTCTCTTAGAAGGTTATGCGGCTGGTGCTGCCGAAGGATCGGGCCGGGGGAGGCAGGTCGTGAATCCGCCACTGGCGCCTAATGCGACTTCTCACATCCCAACTGGACTTGGAGTTTTTCCTTCTGGCCGCCCCTGTCGCTCGGGCTGGCTGTTGATTTTTATGTATCGGCGCGCTTGGCATACTTGGCATACGATGGGACGCGACGCTTTTGGTCCTGCCGCTGCGGCTGCTGCTTCTGCTGGCCGGGAAACCCCCAAAACCATTTAACGCGTCAGCATCAGCGTCAGCGCGCCTCGGAGGCTGGCCAAAGCTGGCCTTTTCAGCCGGAATCGTAACTAGAGTCCCAGCCACGTTGTAGCCGAGCGCCCCGGACCCGTAGGCTCTGTCAGTTTCAAATTAATAGCCACGCACACCACCTCCTCCTGCTCCACCTCGTCCTTGTCCACGTCCTGAGGCCTGAATAGGCGGCCTGGGGTGGGGTATGCATTTATTATGTGAGTGAGCCTGAGCCTGTGCTTTGCCTTCGTTGCTTCTCTATTATAATGGCATCATTGACTTGTGCTTTGATGGCTGCTTTGGCCCGGACAGGCTTCGTTGGTGTGTGTGTTAGCTTCGTTGTCCATAGACCGCCTCCACTTGATCCCCATTTCGGTGGCGCCGGTTGGTTGCTGACTTTTCTGAATATTTGGCTCCCGCTTGGGACCGACCTCCTTTCGGTCGTAACTTGGCCGAATTTGTCGCCGGCCAAGGGGCTTTAAACTTCGCTTGAATGGACTCACAGTTGGCGAACCCGAATTTCAGAACTCCCTTTTTGTAAAACTTTACATTTTATTGGATTTCCAAATGATTTTCAATCAACAAGTCCATGTTATGCAATAATATATGTGTAGTATGATATACTTATTGTTGTTCTATCGCAGGAGGCATTGCAGACCAGAAGGCAAATCAAAGTGATTTCCTATATGTGTTCAATGACTCGATAAAATGGCTTCTAAACTACACACTACTAGCAATAGGACCTGTGTGCTCTATGTCACGGCTTAAAAGCTAAACATTGTATTGTACAATAGATACATGACACCGCTTTTGACGTGACGCTCCACAGAACAGACAACACACAGAAATACAATGGTTTGATTATAAACACAAAACATAAAGTAGTGGTATGGTAATGTGGCGGATTAATAATTATTTTTTGGTTAGTTACAAGTCTTACAACGCTGTCTAAAAAAAATGGAAATGCCTGGTAATCATTTGTTAGTTTCGTTTGGGAAGAACTCTTAATAATAATGTAAATAATTTGCGACGTGCGGCAGCTGCTTTGATTTGTTCACTGGGGCCTAATCTTGCTAATTTATAATTCTTTCTAAATGCTACATAAAAATATATATATTTCTCGTATAAAATCCTAAATACTTTTTTTTTCCTTTTTCAGCTGCACACATTTTTTTTGTATGAATTTTTGGCCGCATTTATGCTATGGCTATTTAAAAATTGTTCGACTGCCGGAGATTCCGTTTTCGCATTACAAATGCACCTTCAGAGATTCCATGCGCGACACAATACGACGTCGCAGCTCGGCATACCTTTAAATAGATAGTTCTTTTTATAATCCATAAGATAATATGTTTGAAATATTTACCTTTCTTTGATTTTGGCTACTTCGCGAGCCACTTCCTCGTCGTAACGCTCCAGAATGGCCCGGCACTCGGGCAGCGATAGATTCAAAAATTGAGCAACTTCATTACTAGAAACAACAAAATCATTAGCTTAAGTAACATAGATATCAAAATAGCCAATTCCCGGGTCTCACCTGATTTCATCGGTTTTGCGTGCATCCACTAAAAATAAACGCGCCACATCCTCGTGCGGCCCCAGAGTGACACGCGTCACCAGCGGATACTCGTCGTCCCGCAAACGCTTCTGCTCGCCATTGTCGCGCACAATGAAGAGCGAAAAGTTTTCCGGCCGACTGTCCACCTTGTATTTCTCCAGCACCAAATTAATCACCTCCGGCGTGGTTATAAGCGAAGACACCCATACTGACATCTGAGAACCGTAGGGCGGCGTAAAGAACGACGTCTCCCGGTTGTAGTAGTGGCCATTGATGGAGCACCGTCGTTTCAGCTTGGTCCGGGAACTGAAAAATAGGGAACGTGTTGAATTTCAATTATGGTTTATCTTTTGCAACTTACCGTCGATTGCCACTGCGCCGCTTGATGGCTGCAGCCCCGGTGCGAGGTGGTCGCCGCAACACTACGCCATCTTCGGTGACATGCAAACCAGCCGAACCCTCTCCATCTCCCCCTGCGCCACTAGCTCCCTCGCTAGCTGTGTATAGCTCTTCGGTTTGAGTCAGCTCATCGCCTGCAGCTGCACCACTTGTTATGGACGGCGCATCCGCTCGACTCGATTCGTTCTCACTGCCGACAGCGCAATTCTCTTTGGGATAGCAGTCCATCTGGATTTGAATATACCGCGGTGGAATATCGCTGCGCCTTACAGTGGCCAAGCGATGGGGTTTCAAAGTGGCGTCATCGTCGTCATCGCTGTCGGAGTAAACAAAGCAGCTGGGTCCCGATTTGGAGCGATTGATGCCCTTCTCGAAGAGCTTTCGCCCTTGTTGATATGGTTTCTTATACTCCCTGCTTGGCCCTGAGGAAGCCGCCGATGCCGATCCGCTTTTCTGCAAAGCATACTGGCGCTGCGTGGATCGCGGCGAGTCCAAGCCACTGCTGCGTAGGTTCATGGTGTCATTGATCAAAGTGGGATCTATCGAGCGTAGTGCGTGCTCGCAGTTAAAGCTTTTGCTCATTACCGAATTCTCGCCGTAGAGCTTCAGAGAATCGTGAATACGTGAGGGATCGATGGGTTGATTCCGCTTCAAGGTGTCCTCGTTGGGCTCCTTAAACGAGTTCGCTCCATTAACGTAGTCCTGGTGAACACTGCGTTTGAAATCCTCATAGTCCATGGGCTTGAGGGTAGCATCATCGCAAGTTTCATAGTTGTCCAGCGTGGTCTCCGTCGTGGTCACTGTTGTGGTGTTTTGAGTGTTCGTGTTAGCTGTCAACGACCCCGTAGCGGTCATAAAGTTGTCCGAGCTGCTGGTATTCGTCGTCGTGGCAGATTGGGTTGAGCTCGACTCCGTCGTGGTCGAGGTATTGTCTGTGGATGTTTTGCTAGGAGAACTATCGCTGGAGGATTGTGAAGACGGCAGTTTCATGGGCATTGTCTCATAAATGCGATCCTTCTCGTTGTGACGTCTCTCCACCTGCAGCAAGTCATCTATATCGTCCCAGTCTAGTTTTTCCAGGTTATCCAATTTGGAAGGCAACGTGTTCGACACACAGCTTGTGCTAGCTGTTGGGGCCTCCACCAGAGTTCCAGAAGAATCCGTTGTGGTTGTGTCCTCGTCGTCGTTCGAGACCTTTCCGTTGGTCACTTCCTTGCTGTTATTCGTGGTATTAGCAGAGGCATCTTCTGGAGTTGTGGGCAAATCGGATATTTCGTTTAAGCTGCACGAGTCGAAAGTCATACTCTCCGACAGCGAGACGTCCGTAGAAAGCTGGTCAACCTCACCAGTGGTTGTGGTTGGGGGAGCCAAAGATTCACTAGCTTCATTCTCCTTATCCGAACTACTCTCCTGGAGATGAAATAGAATGGGTTTAAGAACAATATGACTTTAATCTTCAGAAACTTGATTCTTACGTCTTGAGCTTTGGATACGCGGCAGGAGTTCCTCTTTCGCACCACAAATGTCCGCTGATCGTCGTCCTCCTTCAGATGAATCACTCCTTGGACGCCCCAGTAAACACGCAGAGCTCCCTCCAGCACCAGACGGTTGTTGACCTCGCGACTCCTTATCCCCAGGCTTTTATTGTCGTAAAATTGGTTATAGACCTGTCAATTAAGGGGCGTATTATTGTTTACTCTTTGGGTTTAAGGTTTCCCTTGTTTCACCTTCAACTTGGATTCTAGATGGTCGCGGGGCAGAGCAGGTCCGTTAACCTGGGCGGGTTTCTGGGCGCCCTTCACCCCGTAGCTCTTGTGGGACTCCACCCGTGTTCCATGACCAAACAGCTGGGGTCCAAAGAGGGCTCCGTAACAGGGTACATGGCAGTAAGGCACACCTTTGTGCTAACAAAGGAACAAAATGGTACAAAGATTACGATCGTATGATTAACTCGTCAACAGTCAACAGATCCACCTACCTCGGCGTGCTGGCCTGGATTCAGACGTTTGCCACACTCCTCGCAGCGCAAACATTCCGGATGCCAATCGTAGCCGAGCGATTGTTTACGTTCCGCTATATTGGATCCGAGTATATGCAATAATATAAATAATTCAAATTTTATTTACGGAATACGATCAGTCTGTAGGTATTTGTGTGTATTTGCGTGGGTGTGAGTATTACCAAAGTAAACGGGTTTGCCGCACTTGTGGCACTTCCACATTCCGCTCAAATGTTCCTGTTCCTGGAATGGAAGTGGGTGGGTTCTCCTCGGCCGCTGTTCTCCGGTTGTGACGTAAAGGTTCCAAGTCGCTCCACGACACGGGATCTATGCAAATGAGCTGGGATGTGTTCGAGAAACGCAAATAGAAGGCAAACGCATGGGAGGAAAGCGAGGGGTAGCGGAGTAATCACTCGGCCATCGGCGTTGGAGAACGTGCAAAACTCATCGTTTTATAAATGAAACTGGCACTGGGCACACCCACGAGACTCATGCAGGGCCTGTGCACCGGGTATCCATGCGTTCTCAAGTGGATAATTACACCAAAACAGCACCAGAACCAGAAAAAAAGAGAAGAACAAACGGCCACCAGAACAATGAAACAGTGTTGGTTAGCTCTGGGATTAGGAATTCTGAGTTACAGGGTTGTCAAGCATCTGTCTTGTCTGAAATATTATTTCTAAATAATTATTAATTTAAATGTTTTAAATTAAAAGATAAAATTAAGGATAAGAGGCGACGTTATGCTAAGATTTTATATCGAAATTGTCAATAAGATTAGCCGATAAGATATAGTAGCAAGTGAATTCATAATCTTTGAGGTAAAACGGATGAAATCCCTTTGAAAATACTCGACTTGTTGGATTTTCGAAAATACATTTTTAGAAAGTTATTATAACAATAATAAAAAACAAAAAATAACTTTAAATGTTGCAAAGATCAATCAAGTTTATATACTCTTTGCTAGGGTAAAAAAGCCAGTAGAAAGTATGACCATACCGCTCAAAAAGAAGATTTATGGGAACTCTAGACACGACCACACTATTGTAGAAAGTCCGACGTTATAGTTTGTTGTCAGCCCGCTGTAAATTTTGTAAATTACTCTCTTGAATCTCGCAAATCGGCGGGTTTCGCTAATTAGGGCCTTCGGTCAAGGTGTAAGGCTTCGGTGTGCCGAGGATGTGAACCGCTCCCATCTCCCAGACTTTTCAAAATCAGGCTCCCAAGGAGCACCTCGAATAGAATCAAAAAGCAACAGGCCAAAAATTTCGCAGGCCTTAATTAGCGAAAAGCCAACAGTGCAAGTGACAGATTAGCAACTGCTGTGTATGTGTGGTTTCCTTTCCCTGGGACAATGCGCGCCACAATTGAGTTCGAGGAGTGTCTGAAGGATTCCCCTAAATTCAGGTGAGAGCCCTGGATTAACCAGCCACCAGTCCCCCCCTCCGCCAGACTCCCCCATTTGGCAGTCGAGATTTGCATTGTTTCCGAGAGCAGACCATGTAGCGTGACTGCTTGATATCAACCCATATACCCCCACCCCCAAGTCCGCCTTCCCGAGCATTTCCCACAACCGAAATGGCTGTTAGTTGAAAACGCGGCTTAATCATCGAACAAACTTTGTACTCGAGCCATCCGTCCCGTCACTGCTTTGGAATTTATCTCTATCCGCTCCCCGTGCCCTTGCCCTTGCCAGTGTTTGCTGCTCCATTAATTGGCGACCCGATGCTAGAGAGTTTCGGTCTAGAGTTCGACGCTGATTGATAAGATTTCACCCGAAATTGCCTCTTCTCGGGCAGCTAATCGCTCCCAAAAAACACATCGAAAACACTTTCCCTCGTAAACGGCAGCACAAATGCGGCCATAACTCGTTTGGCGAAGAAGCACCTGCAGCGGAAGTGGCTAACAAAGAAACCAGGCTAGACAGGAACGGGGGTAGGGGCCAGAATAGAGTCCAGAACAAGGAGGATAATCGTCATTAGTTATAGGGTTAATAAGGTTACACCTTATGAATAGAAGAATAGAAATATTTTCTCTCCAAAAACCGCAACCATTTCTCAAAAACTAATTAAAAAGGTAAACTAAAACCAGAGAGGTGCTCGACAAATCGATGGATGACAAGACAAAAGATGCGAGAAACAGAAAAACGACAACAAAGTGATACAAAAACTTGTCCCCGGACGAGCGAGTTTCATTTGAGACGAGTCCGGTGGTTCAATTGGAAGAGCAAATACCGCTTTCATAAGTCGGCATAAATTAAAATTGTCAACATAAACAGAGAGCAGGGCAGTCCCACACTCCCCCCAAGCGAGGAGCTGATTGTGTTTACGTTCTCCAGCCTGTCAAAGGCAATCTTAATCGCCATCCAGAGCCAGAGCGGTGTCAGCAGTCCCTCCATCTTTTGTTTACATCCCGTAGAGGTTGTGCTAACGCTACCACTTTTATTGTTTTCGCAGGCAATTCGTGTCCAAGGAGGAGAGCGACATCGAGCACTTGGAGCAGCGGCTGGAGAAAATCATCAAGCTGTGCAATGTGGCTGTCGAATCGGGCAAGGAATATGTCAAGAACCAGAGGTAACAATCTGCTATAAAGTGCGCAGTTTTTCCATACTCATGAATATTTATGGGTGTTCCCCCACCCCACCCCACCAGCGCCTTTGCCATGTCCTTGTGGGATCTGCAGCAGCACTTCCTCGACAACAAAAACGCTCACAACGCGCTGGGCAAGCTCATCGACTGCTTCCAGGTGGGATTCAAGGTCTCTCCGAATGAATGAGTTTTTATTTACGTTTCTAATCCTGAACAGGAGATGAACAAGTTCCACACGATTCTATTGGATCAGGCTAGTCGAACGGTGCTGAAGAACCTCACATTGTTTGTGAAGGACGACATCAACCAGGTGAAGGACTACAAGGGACATTTCCTCAAGGTTTCCGAGGGCTATGACAATGCGTTGATTAAAAATGCACAGGTGAAGTGCCCTGCCCGGGGCTTCATGTTTGCTTGGGGTGTTAATGGTTAATGGGTGTTTCTCTCCGATTGGCAGGCGAGTAAGAACCGGCCCCAGGAAATGCAAGAGGCAGCCAATATCCTCTCGGCCTCGAAGTCCTGCTTCCAGCACACCGCTTTGGACTATGTCAACTATATAACTTTGGCGCAGGCTCGCAAGGTCCCATCCATATTGTCGACGGTAAGCAATGCCAAGGAAGTGACATACATATCTTCTCTTATCGGCGGCCCCCCCAGAAGTGGCATGGAGTGCCAATGTATATAAACAAGTTGGGGGGGATTTTGTTATTGTTATGACGTCACTAAGACTGATATGAAAGTGCGACTGTGTGGGTTGCATATCTGGAACCATTGATCGGAACCGTTGAGTCAGTCCCCAGGCACTTAGAACTGGAGAGTAGTTTCAGTTCTATATCGGAAGTGCTCGACGACGGTCGAAGTGGCGAACCATAGCATAGGTTTTATTGTCTTTGGCACGTTTTTTGCTGATCTCTGCATTTGTTTTTTGGCAGCTGCTGGACTACTATCAGGCGTGCGTGACCTACTACCATCAGGGCTTCGACCTGTGCAACGACTTTGACGAGTTCTTTAAGAACATCAGCGAGGATTTGGGTACACTACGAGGCGATTACCACCAGCTGGAGAAGGCCATGCAGAATCGGCATATGAGCGTGAATCGCTACTGCGACTCCAACACAAACAGCACGTCCAACAAAATCGAGGGCTATCTGTTCAAGAAGAAGTCCAAGGGTTTCAAGACCTGGTGCCGACGATGGTTCTACCTCAGCGACAACCAACTGGTGTACAGGTGCGCACTCCCATATTCCTACCATCATCCTTGCATCCATATCTTAGACAATCCAATCCATCTGCTTGCCTAGTTAATCGTTAAACTTTTGATTTCTGTGATGTTTTTGTTGTGTGGTGTTATGTGATGTGTTTGGCCGTTGCGCTGAAGTGATTTGGATTCGCATTGCAGAAAACGCAGCAACGAGGACTCGTTCTCGGTCATGGAGGAGGACCTGCGTATATGTAGTGTGCGGCCGGTGAACGAAGGCGATCGCCGCTTTTGCTTTGAGGTCATCTCCCCCACCAAGTGAGTTGTATTCCCCCTCGTCTTTGAGTTCTGATATTCATATATGTCTTTCCTTCCCGCTGCAGATCCCACATCTTGCAGGCCGACTCGGCGGACATGCTCTCTCTGTGGATCTCGGCTTTGCAGCACAGCATCGGAGCAGCCATTCAGCACGACTCAACCCACCACCATTCGCGGCCTCAGTCCACAGCCACACCAAACGCCCTGCCCGCAAAGCGTAGAATGTGCGTATCTTTCATTTTAATCCTCTATGAATCACATTGTAAAGTTTTGTCATTTGTCTTCCCTATAGCCACTGGGAGGAGTTCCTTAAGATACCGGGCAACGCTCAGTGTTGCGACTGCCGCAGTCCCAATCCGCGCTGGGCCTCCATTAACCTGGGCATCACGCTATGCATCGAATGTTCCGGCGTGCATCGCAGTCTGGGCGTCCACTACAGCAAGGTGCGCTCTCTGACGCTGGACGCATGGGAGACGGAGAACGTCAAGGTGATGATGGAGCTGGGAAACGAGGTGATCAACAAGATATACGAGGCACGCGTTGGCGAGAACTGCGATCTCCGGCAACCGACAGAGCAGTGCGGCATCGGAGTACGGGAGGCCTGGATTAAGGCCAAGTACGTGGAGCGTCGTTTTGTCTGCGGAATGCCCAAGCCCCAGGAGCTCCTGGCCAGCGAGACGGCCGAAGTGCTCAGCATAAGTAGCGGTATGCTGGAAGAGGGCGACACAAACGTTAAGAAGCGGGCGACACTATCGCTAGGCGGTACACGTAAATGGTCGGTGAAGAAGTTCCGAAGGAGGCGACAGCAACGTCCCCTTCCCAAAACCCTGAGCGACGATCCAAGCATCTATAATACGTGCAAAACTGGCGATGAATTGGACGATGACGACGATGACGAATCCATAAACATTCCCTCGATGTCGCTAAGCATTTCTCGTGATGATTTGCTGGTAATTGGTGATGACTTGGCGCTGGACACCTTTGAGACGCCGTGCATTTTGGGCAGTGATCAGGAGAGTACAGAGGGTGAGTCCGATCCGGATGTTCCCGACGAGATGCCCTTCTCCCAGCTGGACGCAAATCAGTTGCTCTACAAGGCCTCAGTGGCGCACAACCTGCCGGTGATGTGCATGGCCTTTGCCTTGGGTGCTGACAAAAACTGGAAGAATCCCCTGGACAGGCAGCGGTCGTTCCTCCACCAAGCGGTCATATCTGGATCAGTAATGGCTTGTGAATACCTGCTGTTGAACGGAGCTGCGATCGATGCTGTCGATGAGCTGGGCTACACGGCACTGCATATATCCACGGCCAAAGGACACATTGCCCAGGTGTACTTGCTGCTGAAGCACAAGGCCGCCTATGATCTGGCCTCCAGTGACGGCAAGAAGGCCTTAGACATTGCGGTGGATCAAGAAAACGCTGACATCGTAACGCTGTGAGTAAAACATAATTCGATAAACTTTATCTTTAAATTGTAATGTGATTTCCTTAGTCTTCGATTGACGCGGCTAAATGACGAGATTGGTCCCAACGACGAGTTCAATGGCGAGGATGAGACGTACAGGGACGTCATGAAGGACTTCTCCAACTTTGCATCCAGCCAGCCACGCATGCTGAGGCAGCGAAATGACTCAAACACCCTGGAGTCGCAGCGCAGCTCCCTCACCAATTCAGACTAGCAGCGACCGAAGAAATATGATTAGAGAGGGGCTACTCGTTATTTTGAATAACTGCATCGATTAGTAAGCTAGGTTTATTATTGGATTGTTGGCAGCATTTCGACTCATTGATCAGAAATGTTGAACGGTTTCGAATTCGTTCCGGGCTCGATTCTCCTAGGTAATCTCACTTGAAAGGCGCTTCCGTATATACAACAAAAGAAAATGCATTTTATAATTGTATATTGCATCCAGATTTGGACTCTCGATTGTTGGCGTTTAGCTTAAGTTTAAAGTTTAGTGGCAATTGCATTCGTAGCCTATTCGTAGGGACAAATGACTTTATTAACAATACGAGTATTCGACTATATTGTACATCATCTTATGTGGTATTTATTAACGATATTGTAAAACGTATGTCTAGCTAGATATTTATGTATAATCCTGTTGATGAACTGTTCCAATTTGTGTAATTGTTTGCTAATCTGTTTAACGCTGCATGTTTTCTAAATGTTTTAACGCATTATATATTTGATATTTGGTGCCAACCGTTTGTGAGCCCTCCAGTTCGCGAATAAAGTTGTATGATATTCAAGCAATCCTTGGAGTTCCTTCCTACTCAGCCAGAAACTCAGCATCGCTCATTTCAGCGTCGGAGGCGGTGTCCTCGGACTTGTTGGAGATCTTGTGCACCGTTTGTACGTGGCGCTGCACGGCACTGCGATCGTTGAACTGTCTACCACATTCTTTGCAGGCAAAGTAGATTCCCGAGTGGGTTACCAAGTGTCGACTTAGACCCGACATATGGTGGAAACTACGCGGACAGAGATGGCACTTGTGGGAACGTCCGCTATCCAAGTGCACTCGTCTGATGTGCTGGTGCAGGTTGGATTTTTGGGCGAAGCAGCTCGAGCAGTGCGGGCACTTGTGGCGCTTGGCCCCCGTGTGCGTGTCCATGTGCCGCTTGAGAACCTCGCGTTGTGAGAAGGATTGATCGCATTCTTCGCACTTGAACGGCTTCACTCCTGTATGGATGATCATGTGGCGCTTAAGGGAACTGGAACAAGACAGCTGCAACTCGCAGATGGGACATTTCAGAGAGCCACCCTTGCCGCTTTTTAAGCCCTTGACGTGGGTGTTCATGTGACGGGTGAACATCCTCTCCGTGGCAAAAGCCACCGGGCACAATTGGCACTGGAACGTCTTTACGGTGTCCGACACTCTTCCGGCTCTTGGCTGACCTTCACGTGTGGATTGCTTAAATACCAGGTCATTCGTTCGCTTCTTTTTGGCGGGCTGCGGTTCATCACTGGATTTGTCCTTGGACTGCAATATTTATTATTTAATTATGATTTAAATATAATACTATCAACACCTACCAGTATTATTACGTTATCTTCGAAGTTGTAGACCTGTTGCTCTCCAGACATCTCGCTGTCCAAGTTAAAAACCACAACATTGTCCATTTCTGAAGGTTTCTCTCCGCTGAATTGAATTTCCCCATTTTCTCTAACTGGAAAAATTGGTTCCTGTAAGTCATACGTCTTGTGTGATATATAAGTACTTACTGTTGTAGGAGGTGCAATCGTTGTCGTCTTCAAAATCAGGAGTAGAGTCCTGTTTGGTATCCTCGGCATTGGTCGAATTTATGATGTAAATACCATCAGCTTCGGTTCCTTCCACATCACCAGCCCCGACCATCTTGATGTCCCGGAAATCGTCCGCGGCCTGTGCGGCTGCTTCGTCCATATCGATGGTACTCAGTTCAATCTCATCAGCTGGCAATGACTCCGCATTGCCACTTAAGAGGATCTCTTCATCATCAGTTTTCACTTTTATGGACTGCAAGGAAGGCTTTGAGGTCGTGATCAGACGCCGCTTGGCATGTGGCTTGCTATCTGGTTTGGGGGATGGCTGTGCAGCTGGAGAAGTTTTGGGCAGGGACTTTGCCTCAGATTCTTCACTGCTGTCAAAAACCTCCCACATTCCTGCTTTCTTCTCGGTGAGAAAGACCTCCAACTCTCCCACAAGTCTGGCTATCTGTTCCTTGCGTGCCTCCTCGGTGACCTCTTGGCGCAACTCCTCGCGCACATCGCTGCGTACTTCCTGAGCCAGCTGCTTGCGCAAGTCGACGGATAATTTTTGGCGCAGTTCCTCTTCCGACTCCAATAGCCGCTTGGCCATCTCCTTCTCCTGCTCCTCCTTAGCCGCATCTCGCCGCTTTTCCTCAGCTTCTTCCCGAGCCTTGTCCTTCTTGTTGATAAACGCAATTGAGTCCTCGAACTCCAGCTCGTCTTCATCATAGTCATCGTCATCCGGATCCTTGCAGAAAACACGACTTCTTTTCCCAAGACCCAACAGGCGAATGTGCTTTCGCAGCTTCTTGTCTGCCGCCTGGCATCGCTGTCGAAAAAGAAAGAACTTTTCCAGTTGGTATCGGCACTCGTCGCAAATCTTCTTGGGCAGGCTGTCACCCGGCTTGGCGTCCAGGGCTATGCACGCCATTAGACGGACAGGAATCGACAGCTGCGACTCGTCCTCGGCAAAGATCCCGTACGCCTCCTGGTGCTCCTTCAGACACAGGCGGCAAATAGTTGCCAAATCAGGATAAGGCGAAGGCTCTCCCATCGAGTGGTGCTTGATGTTATTATTTACTACAACTCGATGGCGTCTATAGGCATTGTTTTAGGGTTGCCATCAAATCAAAATATCGATATATTACTATCGATTTTTATTCTTATCAATAGGCATTCCGCCAATTATCGGCGACCTTTTTTTTCAAATCCAAATTTATTTTGGATTCAATAATATTCTTTAATTCAGATTAAAAAAGAATTGATCTACAAATCTTATAAGGTTTAATGAATCATTGGATCAATATTGGCGGACATATGGACATCGCTGTGGGCCACATAGGCCGTACCATGTATTTCCCCATTTTTAAGGGAGTCCATGGGAAAAATTTACAAAAAAAGGAATCCAAAATTGGTTCTGCGGTTTTAATGCAGTTTGGTAGAGAATCGAGCCACAAATCGTTAAAGGTATTCCGTTCAATGATCGGATCAATATTGCCAGAGATATGGACGTCGCTGTGGGCCATATAGGCCGTCCCATGCATTTCCCCATTTTTAAGGGAGTCCATGGGAAAAATTGACAAAAAATGGAATCCAAAATTGGTTCTGCGGTTTTAATGCAGTTTGGTAGAGAATCGAGCCACAAATCGTTAAAGGTATTCCGTTCAATGATCGGATCAATATTGCCAGAGATATGGACATCGCTGTGGGCCATATAGGCCGTCCCATGCATTTCCCCATTTTTAAGGGAGTCCATGGGAAAAATTGACAAAAAATGGAATCCAAAATTGGTTCTGCGGTTTTAATGCAGTTTGGTAGAGAATCGAGCTACAAATCGTTAAAGGTATTCCGCTCAATGATCGGATCAATATTGCCAGAGATATGGACATCGCTGTGGGCCATATAGGCCGTCCATGCATTTCCCCATTTTTAAGGGAGTCCATGGGAAAAATTGACAAAAAATGGAATCCAAAATTGGTTCTGACGTTTTAATGCAGTTTGGTAGAGAATCGAGCCACAAATCGTTAAAGGTATTCCGTTCAATGATCGGATCAATATTGCCAGAGATATGGACATCGCTGTGGGCCATATAGGCCGTCCCATGCATTTCCCCATTTTTAAGGGAGTCCATGGGAAAAATTGACAAAAAATGGAATCAAAAATTGGTTCTGAGGTTTTAATGCAGTTTGGTAGAGAATCGAGCCACAAATCGTTAAAGGTATTCCGTTCAATGATCGGATCAATATTGCCAGAGATATGGACATCGCTGTGGGCCATATAGGCCGTCCCATGCATTTCCCCATTTTTAAGCGAGTCCATAGGAAAAATTGACAAAAAATGGAATCAAAAATTGGTTCTGAGGTTTTAATGCAGTTTGGTAGAGAATCGAGCCACAAATCGTTAAAGGTATTCCGTTCAATGATCGGATCAATATTGCCAGAGATATGAACATCGCTGTGGGCCATATGGGCCGTCCCATGCATTTCCCCATTTTTAAGGGAGTCCATAGGAAAAATTGACAAAAAATGGAATCAAAAATTGGTTCTGAGGTTTTAATGCAGTTTGGTAGAGAATCGAGCCACAAATCGTTAAAGGTATTCCGTTCAATGATCGGATGAATATTGCCAGAGATATGGACATCGCTGTGGGCCATATAGGCCGTCCCATGCATTTCCCCATTTTTAAGGGATTCCATGGGAAAAATTGACAAAAAATGGAATCAAAAATTGGTTCTGAGGTTTTAATGCAGTTTGGTAGAGAATCGAGCCACAAATCGTTAAAGGTATTCCGTTCAATGATCGGATCAATATTGCCAGAGATATGGACATCGCTGTGGGCCATATAGGCCGTCCCATGCATTTCCCCATTTTTAAGCGAGTCCATAGGAAAAATTGACAAAAAATGGAATCAAAAATTGGTTCTGAGGTTTTAATGCAGTTTGGTAGAGAATCGAGCCACAAATCGTTAAAGGTATTCCGTTCAATGATCGGATCAATATTGCCAGAGATATGGACATCGCTGTGGGCCATATAGGCCGTCCCATGCATTTCCCCATTTTTAAGGGAGTCCATGGGAAAAATTGACAAAAAATGGAATCCAAAATTGGTTCTGAGGTTTTAATGCAGTTTGGTAGAGTATCGAGCCACAAATCGTTAAAGGTATTCCGTTTACCGATCAGATCAATATTGGCAGAGATATGGAAATCGATGTGGGCCATATAGGCCGTCCCATGCATTTCCCCATTTTTAAGGGAGTCCATGGGAAAAATTGACAAAAAATGGAATCAAAAATTGGTTCTGAGGTTTTAATGCAGTTTGGTAGAGAATCGATCCACAAATCGTTAAAGGTATTCCGTTTACCGATCAGATCAATATTGGCAGAGATATGGAAATCGATGTGGGCCATATAGGCCGCCCCATGCATTTCCCCATTTTCAAGAGTGTTCATGGGAAAAAATTGACAAAAAATCTTCTTAAAAAATAGAGAATCGATCTACAAATTTTTTGAAGTATTCTTTCCCAAGACCAGTGAAAATCTGTATCTTAGCAAAGATACAGACTTTGATATGAGCCATATTAGCCCTTCCCACGCCTTTTCGAATTTTCAAGGCGGACTTTGAAACTTTCATTTTATGCAGTAAATAATTATGAGTAAAAGGGAATTTATTTATAACTCCGTTACTTATTCTAAAAAAAAAAGGGCCATATTGAATAACTTATATTGTAGTAGGAAAATTATGAAACGCTTCTATTCCTCTTATCTGCCCCTCTAAGCCGACAGCGCACGCAATTTGGGCTATTAGAGTGAAATTCGGATGGCTTCTTGAACCTGGGCTTGTGCGTGCGACAAAGTCTAGCTGGGGATTTAACTGGCGTCTTGGCTTTCTTTATAGGGCTGCTGAATCGTACTTTTTTCTGACTTGGCTCTGTCTTCAAGGGAACTTCTTTAGTCCTTTTTATGGTTTTAGGCGATTTTGCATTACCTAAAAAGACATCCCTATTAAATTCCTCACGCAGGTGGGAAAGTTGGGTGTCGTTCATGTTAATTTCCACCATTGGCACAGGTACAATCACCTCGGAGGCAGGATTACATGAAGGAATTTCCGAGTTGTTCGAGTTTTCAGGGTCTGGTTCATCGTCTGAAATGCGTTCAGTTAATATTTTGATTGTATGAAATCAGGCACAACTTACCTACGAGGTCCACCAGGCTTACGTTGACAAGATTGGGATGTTCCTCCCCTCCTTCTTCGTAAAAACCATCAACTATCTCGGAGCTGACGCTTTCAGAACCATTGAAGTGCTCGAAGGCAGTTTCGTTACGTTTCCGGATGAAGAAATTTTCTACTTCTTCAAAGAGGTCATTGAGGACACCAAGACGCACCTGTTGGCTGGCCTGTTCCATCAGAACCTCCTCAAGCTCTTGTCGCACCTCGTCCTCAATCTCTGCGCGCACAGCCTGCTTGCAATTCGCCAGTAACTCTCTTTTGTAAGCGTTGATTTCATTACGTATGAGCTGTGCTGCCTGCTTCCGCCACTGAGCGTTGCTCTCGGAACAGGCACTGCCTGTGCACTTGGCCACATCTCGTAGCGCACTATTGTCCTCGTCATCCAAGTCGATTCGTTCGTTACGCCTTAATTTCCTGTCAGCTGCCTGGCACCGGCGGCGGAAATGATGGTACTCTTCGAGACGCAGGCGGCAGGCAGAACATATGTGTTGAGGCAAACCATCCGAAGGATCAATCTCAACCGATGTACAGGCCATAATTTTTACGGCAGTCGACACCGAAAAAACAGAAAAGTTGGCGTCCTTTGCCAGACAAAGGCGGCATACTTTCATCGTTGCACGTTATTCCCTAGCGTTTGGCCAATATAAACCAATTCTTCGTTATAAAACAAATAATTTTTTTTATGGTGTTAAAAAAATGTATCTTGGATCGATAATAACACTCTAAAATCCTAAAACTAATATAAAATTGTTAAAAAGTGGTTTTGAATGGTGTATAATATCTTTTCAGTGTGACCAGATAGCAAACACATGCCCAAATCCAAAAAATGTGTTGAAAAAGATTTTTGAATGATTTTTGTTCTTTTCAATTAAGTAAATTTATTTTAACCGATACATTTATTTACAGGTTCGCAAAACTTTTTCAATATTGTTAGCCCATATCATTTGGTATTTTTGTTTTAAAGTGTTGTTGTGCATTTGCGCCCATTTTCAACCATCGACTTACCGGTTCATATTTATCCAACCGGTTCATGAACCTATCACCGAAGTGGCAACGCCAAAAGTCCTTGGGCATCGGCGGGTAATTTTAAAAGTCGAAAAGGATTAAGTACCCACGAAAAAAAAACCAAAGAAACCAAAATAAAAAGACCATAATATTTATCAAACAATTTCAATATAATTCATTAAATATAAGGTATAAATACGCAGTTAACTATTAAGTATTATATACAAAATTACAATAAAGTATTCAGTCACTATAATGCTTCATTTCTATATACAAAGTACAAAATGTTTATATATCCAATGGCTGGAACGCGCTCCGCCGCACTCGCACTCAAACTCTATTTCGCAATTTAATAAATTATGCAAATTCAATTCCATTAAAAATATACAGTAACAGTCGTCTGAAGAAAAAATTGGTGCATGCTTCTTTCTTGTTTTTATCTCTCGCATTTCATTTAGGATTTGTGCCAAGGATTGCCTACTTAAATCTAGGGATGTTTGCAAAAACACAAAAAGTCAAGGACGTGTGTATAACAGTTTCGAATTCTTTTTGATTTCGTTTGCTCTGGCTTTATGATATCCTTTTTTTTTTGCTTTCTCCATATGGGTGGGTGTTTTGTGTGTTTTAAATAAATAATAGCGATCGGTATTAATCATATTCAACATTGAAATACATCAATCATTAGGCATATACATAACTACAAAATATAATACAATTATTGGGCCGGGTTTTGGGAGGCACAGGACCTAATCATGGCGCCAGCTTTGCGGCAGCACGTAGTCCTTGATTTTGTACAGCGCCTCGGCATACCAGTGAATGCCGTTCTGCCGCTCTGCGGAACTGTTCTTTGTGTGGTCCTTAGAGCTGCGCAGCTGATCCTTGGCCGGCAGCCACGCCTCCAGGGTGGAGAGCAGACGCATGGGCGCCAGGCCCCAGTGAGCCAGGGATTGGCTGTTGATCACCGCGTAGCAGCTGGCGGCCACCGAGTTGACCACAATGGTGCCTTCGCGGGTGAGAGGCGCCACCACTCCCTTGCTGCGCACACTCTCCACTTTGATGACCAGATCCGGTCGCAGCTCTCCCGTCTGCTCGTTCCGGACGAGCACGTGCTGTCGCTCCTCGATGCGGTCCGCGAAGGTGAAGGTCAGCTCCTGGCGCTCCGGCTGCCACACGCTCACCAAATGCGCCGGCGTAACCGTCAGCACAGCTCCGCCCGCCGTGTGCAGGCGTACGAAGTTCTGCATCTGTTCCAGGTTGCGGTCCATGAAGAGGATCACCTCGCTGTAGACAGGCTGGCCGTTGGAGGTCATGCTCAGGACGCGGTCTCCAATGGAGAGCTCGCCTAGCGGCTTCCTCACACCGTCCTCCAACAGGGCAGTGCTCTCTGGCGTAAAGCATCCATGGACATGGGAGCTGATCGAGGAATCTGCAAGTGGAAGAAGGAAAGAAAATGATTAGATTTTGAATTTTCAGTAACATAGATTGCATTTTTAATGAAAGTAAAGTGTAATCTTCCTGTACTCTGTTCGCCCTGCTCAGATCAAAAAGATTTATTACCGATTTTAGATAACATTTTTCACCCGAGTGTAGTTGGCCCACCAGGTAATGGCATTAGTTGCTAATCTAATTTGGCGTTAAGCATCCAATTGCCAAACCCAACAAGTCAAAAAGGTTTTCACAGATCGATCCCCGGGGCTGGCCGGTCACAGCCCAAACTGAAACAATGGGCCCCGAAAAAAGGACTGACTGAAAGGACTGCCTTTTGCGGCTTGCCAACAAGCCAGGAACATAATGCGATCGAAGGAGGATCGGAGATCTTCGATCTTCAATCTACAAATGCGATCTGCCAGGCCGTATCAATAACATGCGGCACGGCGGTCGTGTGTTTTTGTTTTCGGCATCGTCTTCGGCTTCAGCTTGCACAAAAATTGTGATCTTGTTTTTCCTACAAGATTAGCCGTGTGGGATCAGCCAAATCCCAATGCGAACTCGACTCGAGCCAAAGCGGCTTAGTTCCTCCAAAACGGAGAGGGAGAAGGGATGTGCCAGGTAGCTGTTTGTGGCATTGTTTTCCCAACAGCCCATATAGCAGCCTTTTTAGCAACCTGTTCGCAATTACCGAACATGCTGCAACCCACTACTGCAACCACATTAATCATCATTAATGGATATTGGGTTACAGGCATCAGGCAAAACAAAAAAAGGGGCCACCCAGCTAGACGTGGAAATATTGGGCTGCATTTTTAGAACTTTCTCTCGGGGGGCTCACACGCACATTTCACACCCGAAGCGCCGCCGCCTCAAATGCTGTAAATGCTTGTAAAATTCAAATTAAAAATTCCAGACCACTAACAGCGCGCGCGCTTTATTATAATGAGTGGCCATAAAGTGGCCTTGTTGTTGCTGCGCCGACGGATGTTGCTGCTGCAACCCAAAAAATTCCAACGAAAATGCACCTTCTCAAATACCCGAAAACCCGAAATTCCCATTGATGCATTTTGGTAAACAGACTGGCGGACAGACTGAAAAGTGTAGAAACAATAAAAATCGGATTAAATACATATGGTCAGCGGTCTATAAAACCCATAATCGATGGGGACCGGGAGCCGAGCCCAGGAGGGACACAAAGGGCGGGGCTGGGGGGTGGGCAGAGGAAGCGCGGTAGTAACAAGAAAAATTGGTGTGAAATCTACCTTCTTACCAACAAACAACAAAAAAAAAAAGAAGCGGACCTGGAAAAAACAGAAGAACCAGTAACAAAAGACAAAAAATAAAACCAAGTAGAGGGAATGACACGGCCAAGAAGGGAAACAAAATCTCAGGCATCGTCTTCGGCGTCTCCGTTGGCGGCGGTGAGTGGAAAGTGAAGAACTTGAAGGGTCATAAATTAATAAACCATTAAAGTGGTTAAAATTATCGTTATTTTATCTTTGTTGTGAAGACTAAACTGATAAATTATTACAAAACAGAGGACAGCCGCTCCGCTCCGACCACTTGTTGTTGTTGGTGTTATTGTTGTTGTTGCCTGTGGTGACTGATCGTTTGGACAGCATTAACATGAACATGCAACAACAGCAACAGCAACACTGGGGCTTGGGGCTTAATGCGCGCGCGCGACACTCCAACAACAACAATAGACAGCCAGCAGCAACAACAACAAAAAGAGAGAAAAAAAAAAATTAGTGTCGACAAAAAGGTTTACAGCCATTACTCTTCGTCGCTGTGCTGGTGTTGTGTTGCTTTTGGCCTTACTTCGGCTGCTGCTGCTGCTGTGTTTAGGCCACGAGAAAACGAAAGACTTAGGCAGCGAACTCGAAGCGCACCGAATGCTGTGCCAAAACTGTCATAAGCCAGTGGTTTATGTGCAGCCCGGCTATCAGCAATCAATCGCTTGGTAATTTATTGATAGGCCCACGGCCACACAACACATGGCCAGGGCGAAGAGTGGGGGGGTAGTGCCGGGACCACACACATGGCAGGACAGGCTGTGTCCTTTTGCCACTTGTTGTCGGTGCAGTTCTTTTGATTTTCAGCTCAGGGGTCAAACACAGACAGGCCAAATGACAGCAGGATCCAGCAGGATCAAAGACGAGCGGCTCCTTTCATAAGCAATTAGAATCAATGAGCAAGGACACTTGGCTCCGATGTCCTTTGTAATCTTTATGAGCCGCCAACCCGAAGGAGGAGAAAAGTCAAAATATTGTGACTGCGTGTGTGGGAAAAAGGCGTGCCAAGAGTTGTAATTGTGGACTGGGACATGAAAGGGAAAATCCCTTACAGCCGCTTGGGAAAGCAATGCAAAAAAACTAAAAAGAAGGAAATCTTGGCGAGAAAACTTAATTGTGTTGGCCCGTTTTGGTTGGCTGGTCGCATGGAGCATTTTCCTCTCTCTTGTTATTTGGTCTTTGGGGCAGTTTCGTTATGTATCGTTATGTTTCGGGGAAAACTGGTTGCTGGCCATAATGGCTACAACTCACAGATACACACCTATACCCACACACTCACACACCTATGTATAGCCTGGGACTCATTCGCCGGAGTCTTAACTGATGATGCTAACTTGCTGCGTTTGGTTTTTGGTGTTCCGTGGGTCTTCGGGGTTTCCGAGCCTCTTTTTTTCAATTAGGCCCGCGCTCAGGTTTTAGCCCGGCATTTAATTCATCTTTTGCCTGTTTCGGTTGCCTGCCTCTTGGCCAGTTTGCCTGTTTGGCCGTTTGGCTGCCTGAGAAACGCTTTGGGTGTCGTATCATCAATTCGTTTAATTTGACAGGCGCAAACCTAAACATGTCAAAACAGCACACAGCCCCAGCAAGTTGCCGCCTCTGCCTGGCCGACTCTTTTCGGGTCCGGTTTTCGAGACTTTGTTGCCTGTTGGCTGCTCTTCCCCTTTTTTTCTCTTTTTTTCTTTTTATTTTTTCCCCCCCTCTTACAGTGAGCCGGAGGAACTGCAGCCGTGGCCAAATTGGCGGAGCAAAGTGCAGGAACGGGGGGCCTGAAATGAAATTTGCCAACGCCTGTCAGCTTAGCGATCGCCAGTACGAAACATGCGAAATTACGCTTGTTAGTGTCACTTCTGGCTAACTGACCAGGCCCACCCATCAGCCATCACCCCTCGAACATGGAACATTACTTGTTATTACAATGTCACTGCAATAACTCGAAATTCCATTGGGAAGTATAGGTATAATATAGTGTAATACCCAGGAACCTCACAAATGCTTTTAGAAATATTTCTAAAAAAAAAAAACAGCTTTTCTAACTAACTCACAGCTTTTTAAACTAACTTGTTAACTACGGAATATTTAACATTCAAAAACTATTAAGAAAAAACTTTAAGAAACCAGACATCTTAAGCAAACAATTTTTGTTTAAGAAACCTAATTACTTTGTTTCATAAACTCTTAAATCTCTGATTCATAACCTGTCTAAACTCCCTAACATAAAACAAGTATAAAAATAATTAGATAATAAATAATTAAGATAATTACCTGATTTAACGGAGCAGTATATATGACGTCGACTGACGTAGGATACCCAGTCGAAACCAGCCTCCACCGCCAATCTGGCCAACATGCCGTACTTGGACTGGTCGCGATCCGAGGTGGCAATGGTCACAGCCCGACCCTCGTAGTGCAGCGACTCCGCGCCGTGCTGGTGATCCTCGTCCCAGGACTCGGCGACCAGGAGACGGACTCCGGGCCACTCGTTCATCACCGAGTAGGCCAGCACGTTGAGCTTCTCCTTGCAGCGCTGGAAGAGATGGGAAGAGGTAAGAGATCGATTAGGTTTCGTTTTAATAGCCCAGACGCAGACGCCATGTTTAATTCGCTTGGAGCGCCAAGTGGGAGCAACAGAGATGGATATAGTGTGTGCGTGTGTGGAGGGAGGGGCGTGGCAAGCGGGAGTTCATTCTGGTGGCCCAAAAGGGCTGGTGTTCATTACTTTGTTTCTCATTTTTTTTTCGAGGGAGCAGTGCCGCTTTGGACTAGTAGGTATTTGCTTTTTGGACTGTGTGAGTCTGCCCTTTTTTCAGCTTTTTTTCTGTTTTGGTGGTCGCATCCTTTGAACCTGTTGCTGCACAACCTCAACAAACAGCCAAGGAGTTTTTGGTGCCCCGAGTGCTGTTTGCCGAGTGCCGAGTTCCCTTTCTGGCCAAAGGCTTGTTTGCAGTTCAAACACTGACCCTACTAACCCACGCTCATGGGTAAATAATAACAATAATGCCGGGACCTTTATGGATGGACCTTTATTTTCGATCCTCTCCTCTCTTTGTTTTTCCTGTCGATAATATATGAAAACGCTTACTTTTTGTTTAACAATGTGGTGGGTGCTCTGCTCTGCTCGTCGTTTGTCGGCTTGTTTCCATTTGATTTTTTAAATCCATGAGCGTAGAAATGCCAGCCAAGCAAAAAGGATTCGTATAAGTCTATGCAAATATTTGAGACCCACAAAAAAAAAAAGAGATCTTAGAATCGGAGAAGGTATATCTAGAAGATGCAGAGCCACAAAATCAATTATCAACGGGCAAGCGGACAAAGGACAGTGACAGGATGTTGCCTTTTTGTGTGCAAACAGACAGCGCATGAAATCAATTTGCCGGCCAAGGATCCTTTTTTTTCGAGCAAACCACAGCCGATCAATTTTTGCCTTTTTCGGTTTTATGTTTTGATGAGGTGTGGATCTCCGGCTGTGTGTTTGCTATTATTTGGCCCAAACAAGGAGGCCCAAATTTGTCACACAGCCAATGCCGGCTTGCCGCAAACTGTGGCAAATCGGCAATCAGGACAGTGAGCGAGGTGGCAGATCCGACCCGACGCGACCCGCGCATTCCGGGAAGAGTTCAATGAAATTTGCCTGCCCAGTCCGGTCTTGTGGGCTTGTCCGCTGCTGCTGCAACTTTGCTTTATTAAAAGGCTTAACCAGTGGAGAGCCAAGTCGAGCCGTGCTAATGAGCACAAAAGCGTAACGCGAAACGGCAAACAGTTTGTGTCCGAGATGGACCCGGCATGGGCATGGAGATGGAGGTAAGAAACAAAAAAAAAAAGGTGAAAAACAAACGCTTTTGTCTTAAGCACTGCCAACGATGTTTACCCAACATGCTAATGCATTGAGTTCGAATTGAAAATCGATGCAGCGAAGAGCAAACAAGCGCGAAGAGGTTCCAACTCCAACTCCGACTACGACTCCAAATCCAAATCCAAATCCAGCATCGTTTGCCGACGGGTGCGTAAGGTAAACATTTAGAGGCGGCGTCGGCGGCCCAAAAAGATGGCTAAATAATGTGTGTGCCTTGTAAGTGGCCGTTAGACAACAGCGTCAAGTGTAAATAAGCCCTGGCAGCACATATGTATCCCCCTGCATTCCTTTATCCCTGGTGCTGCCCCCTGCCCGCTGCCACTACCCCACGAAAGCTGCATTAATTAGACATTCAACAAGGTGTGAACTTTGCCCAGCCATTACCCCGAAAAAAAGGGAAAATCGAACCACGCCCCATTTTTGTTTACACGCATCTGCATTTGATCCGATCCCCTACAGCTTTTAAAGTCTTGGCCGAAAGATCTTGGCCAGTGGATGGATCTGTGGCTCTTGATGCGTTTTTAATTGCCACGCCACTGCAGTTTTATTGATTTAAATCGTCTGGCTGGCTGCCAATTTGACGCTTTTAATGGTCCGGGCGAAATTATTATGGCACGAAGATTATTAGGCACTCATCATCATTAGCGGAGTGGTCGTCGGTTGGGTCCCCGCTGCAGCTATTAGTCCCGAACTCTCTGGATCTTTGTTTGTTTTTGGATTCCAGTCCAGAGTCCCCGTCACAGTCCAGGTCCCAGTCCCAAGTTACCCTGATTTTTTTTTTTTCGCCAAGCAAACCAAAGGCGAGGCGTCTCGGATTACTTACCCCAGGAAGAAAAAAACCGACGATTAGGAAACGACACAATTTAACGACATAATTCAAGTGCGCATTAAGTTACGCCAGGGGAGTCACCCCTTTTTCGGTTTTTTATGTGATTTTTTGTGTGATTTTGTTGGCCAGACCAGATGCACGTGCTATGCAGTGCTGTAGGAGAGTGTAAGCAGATATGCCATATCCTTTGATTCCTGGCACTGATTGCCATCAGAGGAGGAAGCTCAGAGGAAGCGAAAACTTACAACTGACACAGGATATACTCAAAGGCCGACAAAAAACGAAGGAAATCACGTCACCCACCACACACGCTTTATGTGTGTCAACAGCCCGGGATTCAGGGGAGGATCGAGCTCCAAAGGCCGTGAAGGTGGCCCACTTGAGAGAGAGCCCTGGATGAGAGCTCTTTTGGCAGCCACTTAGGTGGCAACTTAGAGCCCATCAGTCAGCAGGTCGCCTTGTGTGGCCCACTCGAGGAGGCCACAGATTTCCTTTTTCCTCACTTAATTGGCAAACTTGGCGGAGGCTGATTGATTCAAGTGCAGGGTTAATGCCAATCCGCTGCCGAATCTGTTTATTTGTGTTGCAAATCTATTCACAGCTCTTCATTAGAAACGCGGGGGAGTCCTCCTGGCCCTCCGCGGCAAACCCTTTGATTGTTTATGCTGATGCGCTGGCAGCGGCGCAATTATTACAGCGCAAAAAAATTCCATAAATCGAATAAGGCCAATATATATATAAAAAAAAGGAGAAAAAAGTCCAGGCCGAACGGACGACTGAAGTTTTAATTAATCAGAAACGGAGGGAATGTGACTGTGTTTACGGAATCTTGAGAAATATCTCAACATTCGGGCTCCAAAGTCTGCTCCTGTCTGTTTATTTTCGTGGATTATAAATGGCACGAATTAAAAGGGAGGTAAGTCTTTATCGGATTAACGAGAGATCGGGAGTTGGGTCTTGGATGCCAAATTGAATTCTTCTCACTTGCTAAATGAGGATATCCATATAAACATTTTTTAAAGAGCTAATAGGTTTTCAAACATAAAAAAAAACTAATAAAAAACCAAACTATATTTTATTAGTCAGTGTATGACTTCTCCAAACTCTCCTTAAATCTTCTAATATCTATCTTTTAAGACCTCGGGAAATGTAAAAAGTTATTAGCAATTTGCATAGACCTGGGGATCTCAGATCTCCGGGGCGGCCCCCACTCTTTACAAAACGCTCGTAAATCTCGCGTCAAATAAATGTCCATAAAGGGAAGGCGTCATTTTATTGTTATTAATTAAATGCTATTAATTTGCAGAAATCGTAAATTAAATCTCAGTTGTGGCCTATTGCCTCACCTGTATCTCCCCCTGTCATTCCCCCGTGACCCTGCCACATTTAATGTGCCCCGGCTGGGACGCAAAAGTCATTTGGAGGCTCTCAGCTTGGAGGAGGCAGGTAAGAGAGAGACCCAGGCCGGGTCTTAAATGATAAGCGCCATAATCCCTGATGTGTGATTAACTTTGATGATGAGTTATGAGCCGCACATTGGCACTGATGGTGCTGCCAAGGAGGGGATCGGCGGTCAGGGGGCCCGTGACTTGCAGGAATCGGGAGACAAGAGACCGAGAGCCATGTGAAATGTGAGTCACTCGCCCAGCAGTAATGTGATAGCCGCGACGCGATCGCTGATCGCAGATTTCGCTCGCGATCTTCTCCAGGGCAAGTTCATAAAAGTTTTATGCAAATAAAGCAAAAGCAAAACCAAAAGGCAAAGAGTCTGAGGAAGAGCCAGAACCGAGCAAATATCGATGGCATTTTGGAGCAACAAATCCTTGAACATTCGCGCTTGAGTGCCCTCGTAAAAGTATCAAATTGATTAATAATAATATAAAAGCATCGCACACACAAAAGCAAAACAAACACACTGCGGTTTATGGAGATCCGCTCAGTGGGGCGATCCCCGGCCTGCCATTTGGCAATTTGTCCACTTTGCCTGACTGATGTTTGTTTGATAAGTTTGATTACTTTGTTGGTCCCCAATAGCCATCCTGGGGGATACATATACAACAAGCCCTGCCCTGGAATGTTCCCACGAAGTGAAGTTTGCTTATCTTGGCATTTGACGTGATTTGATTTGAGTTTGGCCAAAAAGAAAACGAAACCGAGACTCTGACTCTGACATCATCATCCCGCACACTGTCTCTTGTCTTCTGATCTTTTTGTCATAATAGGATCAATTTTTGAGTCATAATGTTCTATTAGAGTGCCTTGCGGCTGTATTCTGTGGGCTTACTTTGATTTGATTTGATTTGATTTGATGCATGTGTCTGGCTTGAGTGGTGGTGGGGGATACAATATTAAAAAAAAGAGGACTGTCGACTGGAAGACTGAAAACTGGCAACTGGTATCTGGCAACCGGCAACCGGCAACTGGGACTGCATGCATGTCAATAATCATATCGGATTACCCCATTGGCTTTGCCCTCAGCCCCATTGTTGCTACAATTTATGAAATTTTAGAACTTATGCTGCGGCTTTTGACGCATTCTTCACTGTCCGTCCGTCCATATGTCCGCCTGTCCATCCGTCCGCTGTCCGTTTGTCCGCTGCGGTTTCTGGTGCTTGTCTAATCCAGTGAGCCAAGGCGTGTTGCATAGACAACACATTACTTTAATTACCTGCAATACCCCCGTGCAATGACTTGTCATAAGCTCTGGCATTTTACGATCCCTGCTCTACGGTGGCTTGGCTGCCGTTTCGTCTGATTCGGTTTTTATTGTTTACAGCAGCACCAAATGCTGCTGACAATCTGCAATTTGCCATTTGTTTATGCAACCCACACAGCACTCACGGTCACTTGGCTAGCTGGCCTTTTTAATGGCCAAAACGAATTGTTTACCAGCGGAAATTCACGCACAGTAAGTATCCAAAAATCAAAAACATAAAATACAATTTAGTTGCGCTGCTGGTTTTCTAGGACAGAGGCTGTCGTCTCCCAGCCTCCGGTTTCTCTTCTCGCTGGCCAATTCTCCGGTATCCGGACCAACCAACTCTCAATGTCACTCGGTAGCCTGCGAAACGGTTGCAGTTGTAAATATTTGCCATTGAGCACAACAGGATTTTATGGGCGCGAGTGTCCTTGGGCAGTTAGTCAAATGCCTGGATGGCCTTGGCTATGCTTTGACCTTTCGCTGTCCTTGACAATCGCCGATGTCACGGGCGATACAATATAAGATATGTAGGTGCTGCTGCCGTGTTGGTGCAACTGTTAACCGTTTGTCGGTTCTGAACAGGCTGCTTTATATGGATTGCATATCAAATTCAAGGTAACTGCCACAAATGTTTCTCTCGACCATTTAAAAGTCCCCCGATGGGCGCGTGGCAGTTGCAAACGGCCATTTGTGAAAGTTAAGTGAAATTTTAGAAGCAGAACAACAACTGTTTCGTCGATTAATCATCCGATATTGCAGTACGCCAATCTTGGCCAGATCTTCAAGTGCCAAGAGTCGTAAATAATTTAAATGAAAGTCATTATGGCTCAAGTGTTGAATTACACTCTTAAATCAATATATTAATTTCATGGCTAATCTGTCTAGTAGTAGTTTTGATTATTTATTTCGAAAAATATTTGCTCCAAATCGTGTCCAAGGAAAGTGGAAGTCGGCCGTAAAAGTTTAATAGCTCGTTTATGGGGGCTTATCAAGGGATGAGTGCGTTATTTTTAACACCTAGTCAGCACTTAAAATTTCATTAAAATAACAAAAGTTTTTTGCGATAAGGTGGCGTCCCCGATAAGTGTGCCACGGTCCACTTGTGGAGGCCTGACTGTACCGCAGCCCCGTGCACTGCAAATGGCAATACTAATTGGAACTTCTGTCGCCGGAATTAAGCACTTGTTTAAGATGGTTTTTGTTGTTAGACTTTGGAAAGCATTCTTCATTAGGCCCCTACCCACAGGGATACATTCGCGAAACCCCTCTTGGGCCGGACGATAAGATATTGCTATTATTCGACTTAGCTGGTGTCTTAGCACACATTTTTTCTGCAGCCAATAAATAGAACTTGAGGCGACCTATAAGCGATTGCACCGGAAAAAATATTTCAAGATTTATAGGAGACTTTGAACAAAGTTGGCTTTAAAGATTAGGTCTCTAAAGTTTCAGAAAACCGAAACAAAAGAATTTTTCTATTAATCTTTTAACGTTTTAAGGTTTTTTTTTTTACTGTTTTATAAATGTTGGCAAATAAATCCCCCAAGTGGCCGAGTGTGAGTGTAAATTAGTCGGCGAACAAGCTACTAGCAGGTCGCTTATCAGACAAACACCGGCGATAAGCGGCACCGCTCGCGTGCCTCGCTTGGGGGCAGACAGGTGGGCGGGCGGTATATATGGGCAGGTATACTTATAGCACTTAATCCGGCCATACTCGAGTCTCTGTTTGTTTGTTGTTCGTGGCGAAATCGAAATCGAAAACGCATTCACAATGTTGATTGATTGAACTATTTGCCATGATGATCCACCGGATCGATTGGATCGAGGTTGTTGAACGCACTTTTGTTTATTTTATTTTCTTTTATTAACTTATTTGCTTTTTGCGTTTATTGCAAAAAGCTTTATGGCTTAGTTCGATGGAATTCGGGCTGGCTATCTGACATTTAGTCCCTGGATTTCGAGTATCGGGCTTCCTGTTTTGCGAAATAAGTGCAGTATTCGGCGCCGATAAGATGCATAATTAATCATAATTGCCAATGCTGTTCTTGTCGTTTTTATTGCTCGAACTTAGTAATAAAGTTAATTTATTTTTGTATAAATAGTTAAGCCGACGATCGGCCCGATGAGTTGGCCGTTTTTTGATACCGACACGTAGCCGTTATCACTGGGAAATCGAGTGGCGGGCGGTCAGCTCTATCACGATCGCACGATCGCAGATATGGTTTGCCTCCGAGATTAGCGATTGCTAATTTGACAATTGAATTTGTGCGGCCACAGGTGAGCGAAAGGTGCTTTGGGTGCAGTGCGCAATTGGCCGGCACTTGGCCTAGCCCAGATTCGGAAGCGGTCCGATTAGACGGAAGAGGGAAGTGATCTCATCATAGCTTGTGGTTTAACCTACTTTATGAGTCGGCAGGGATAACTATTACCATGAATCGACGCTTTTTTGTTTCTATGAAAAATATAATTGATTGCCTTAGTCATTATAATTTTCCCCAACACTATTTGTATTGTATTCCCAAACAAAGTCTAGATAATGAAACGAACAATCAGGTCTAATATCTTAATGCCACAACTAGACACTGCTGATACCACAATTTTTGATGTCTTACAACTCACCTTGCTCATGAGACGGTCGGCTCCGGTGCCCTCGTCGTCGCGGAACAGGATATCCCGGTTGTAGTTTGGCACCAGGTCCTTGAACTTGGGCGAGTCCCGACGGATGGCGCCCTCCAGTGGCCCGGAGGCACCGCTGGTGTACTCAGAGAGATTGGGAATGGTCTGCTTGAGGACCAGAGGGTAAAGGTTGCGCTCCCGGCGACGGCCCAGGCCTCGACCGGGGCCACAGCTGTGCGCCGGAGTAAAGCTGAGGGGCAGCACCAGGAGCAGGACTGCCAGCAGAGTTGTGATCTTGCCACCACCGGGACAACGTTGCGTATGCGCAATGTGGCGCTGGATCTTTTCCGCCGCTGGAGGAGAGTTGCAGTCTGGCTGGGATTTGGAGCTGGAGCTGTGGCATTTGGCTGTGTCGAGGGAGAGGCAGGTCATGCTGCTGGGGGCACTGGCCCAGGGAACACGGCAGTCTGAGTTATCCATGATTGTTTGGCTTGTTTGGTTTCTGTTTCTCTAGTTTGATTTATGTTTTTATTCGTATTATTATTCTTTTCTCCTTTATTTGGTTGTTTAGCACTTCACTTTTGGCACACTGAGACACTGAGAGACTGAGAGGAGGAGCGCACGCGTTTCGTTATTTATTTATTTAATTTTTGTGAAATTATTCGTTGTTTGTTGGGATTGCCATTTAGTTGGACTTGGATTTTCTTTACTGATTTACTGATTTGTGCTACCTTAACCGACTGGCTTAGTCCTCGCAGGGAGCTCGCTCTCGGACAACCGTTGCGCTCGCACGGTGATTGACAAATGACATTTCCGAGCCCACGAGCGAGTATCGGGAGCGGAGTACCAGAGCACCAGAGTATCGGAGTATCTGAGTATCGTCGTATCGGAGTGCCAGTGTACTGCTGCGAGTACGATTACGAATACGAATACACGAGCACTAGTGCGACGAGGGTGCTTTCAAGAACCCTAAACACTCACACTCACTCACTCACACACTCGCACTCTGCTGGCCAGGGTTCATTTCCGCTTCGATGTGTGCGTGTGTGCCTCTGGTTGTGTTGAAGTGCCACGATCAGTGTTCATTTTTATGCTCCGTTCGAGTGGCAGAGGTGCGAGAGGGACCACTGTAGACCACCAAACTATGGCTCACACAGACAGCCGTGGTAAGAGGTGAACGCGTCTGTATTGGTGGTGTACATAAGACGTGAGGCCTCAACAGATGGCCTCAACTGTGTTGCCAATTGGCAAGTGCGATGGTGTGCGTGGCGGGGCCAGAAGATGCAACCTCAGCTGCAATTTCTCTTGACACTTGCACTACTACTACCCGTCGACTGTTGTGGCTTGTTAGCCGCTCCTGAACCTCCACCTCCTCCTTTGCCTCCTGCTCTTGGCCACCATTGTTCACTTTTTCCGTTGCATTTTGTTGTTCGTTTCGCTTTATTGCTTGTAAATTAATAATGTTCCGGTTTTTTGTGTATTGTGTGAGAGAGGTGCTCCTTTTTGGTATACGTACTCTCGCAGGCAGCCCCCTTTTGGGCCAACTTCCGCTTGAGAAGTTTCTGGGCCCGTCTGGGTTTTCCAAAACCCCTGGAAAACTTGCGATGTTATATGACCGCCATGGCCTTGCTGCTTATGTCACTCAGTAGTGAATCATTAATGTCGACGATCGGAAGTCGGCCAGATATTCGCAATCTTCAGATTAGATACGAAGACAGGACGTGTGACTTTAGTGGGCAATAGGTTTAATTATCTCAAATGCATCGTAAATTCGCCACTAATTTCCTCAAATATACAAGTTGTTTTTTATCTATTGACTTACGATTGGGGTGCTGAAATCCCGATAATTCGTTTCGCAAATGCAATCTGTGATTACTAAGTATTTGAGCTAATCGTAGAGCGATGATGCCGCTTTTCTGAACTTCACAACAAATTCCCCAGACCTGTTGACTTTGGCTAATAATCTGCGGTTGCTATTTTTAAGTTTACTTTTCCAGCCGGGCTTTTTCGCACATCTTGAACTTGGTTCTCTGACTTTTGAGCTGCGAACTTCGGCTGGGAGTTACGGCTCTGACATGTCTGGATAGAGTCTTATTGTTTAGACTTTTGCGGTTGCACTTGGCCGGGTCTTGGCTGCAGTGGCGGATCTAGAATTGCTGGCGCCCGGGGCAAAACGAAAAATTTGCGCCCCCCCCCTCCCTCTCTGCTATATGAACGCGTTAATTTTTTTTTATATGAATAAAATTCAAAGTATTTTGGGTGTGTAAAAGGTTATATCATCTAAAGCTTATAGGTATGAAGAATTATATTTCATTTTTATTCTTTCGTTAGATGCATCATAAAAATACATTAAATGTTGTGTTTTTGTATGAAAACAAAATATTACTTCTGTAATATAACTTTCCTGGCCTTGGTTGCCGCAAATTCAGCAATAATATCATTGTAATCGAGTGATGCTGCTACATCATTTTCGATGGAAAGTATTGCCAAGTTTGATAGCCTGTCTTGGTTCATGGTTGTGCGGAGATAAGATTTTATTAGTTTCAGTTTACTGAACGATCGCTCACACGAAGCCACGGACAATGGTAGAGTCAGCAACATTTTCAAAGCCGTCACAAGTGTTTTGTACGCCTCTAACCCCAACGATGAAATGTATAATAATATTCCTTTTGGAGTGAGGTCGAGAGTTTCTCCATTTTTATTGGCTCTTTTCAGGAGAAAAATGACATCTTTAATATCTTCAAACAATTCCCTCCCGTTTAAATCGTTGGAATAGATTTCGGCTAATGATTTGCACTTATCGTTAACTTCCAACAGTTTTCTATCTAAAATTTCTTTATCGTCACCGAGATATTCTTTGAAGTCGAAGAAAAATCCGAAGCGCTCATTCAGCACCCTCAAGTTAGCGAAGCGAGTAGAAACTTCGATCGAAAGGCTGTCCAAAATTTCAACCAAAAAGCGTCTTGTTTCTTGGTAGGTATCGAGAGCAGCGTCATTTGCAAGTTCACCTGGCATCTTACGTTTTTTAATTTTTCTCTTCAAAATCGTTACCCCCATTTCTTCACATAGTTTTTTAGCTTTCACTATGACCTTGTCGCAAAGACTTACTCTCCACTCTTTGATGTGGTCTGACAATGTCTCGAGTAATTTTGATGCTTCGTAAATGCTGATTTCTTTGGTTTGCAACATTTTCTGCATTCTGTCAATAGAAGGGAGGATCTCCGCCCATAAGAGGAGCAGAACCAGAAAATCGAATTTTTCAACAGCACCGATGACGAGTGCTGCATCTTGTCTCGTGTCTACGGTTTCAGAAGACGTATCTCGAAGCATTTCTAGAGCTGATATTACTTTATCAAGTTGGGTAGATAAAGTATTTACTGCTGCTGCGTTGGCACTCCATCTTGTATCAGACTGACGTTTGACCGTGATTGTCACGTGTTGTTTCAGGACATCCCATCTATGAGTCGATTTTGAGAAGAAGGTATACACTCGTTCCACCGTTCCAAAGAATGTTACTGCCTGAGCATTGATGTGAGCTGCATGAACTCCCACCAAATTAAGTGAATGGTTATTGCATGGAATGAACGTTGCCAATGGGTACCGATCTAAAATTCTTTGCTGAACCCCAGAACGAGTACCAGCCATTGTAGCTTGATTATCGTAAGCTTGACCTCTGCAATTATTGACATCTAAGCCATCATTTTCAAGCTTATTTAGGATTTCACTTGTCATTCCTTCTGCATCCTTCGTTTTGAGAGGAATAAAATCGATGAATGATTCTTTGACCTCAACAGAATTCTTTTTCACTTCAACGTATCTTATGATCTGAGCCATTTGTTCTTCATGACTAGAATCGTAGCTTCATGAAAGCTACGTGCGTAGCGCCGCGGGAAAATATGAATTCTCGAAACATACAGTGTTAGCCGAGCTCGATTTAGCGCCCCTTCGGGACTTGGCGCCCGGGGCGCTTGCCCCTTTCGCCCCCCCCTAGATCCGCCACTGCTTGGCTGGGTCTTGGCTGGGTCTTGGCTGGGTCTTGGCCAGGTTTCTGTTGACACTGTCACTTGGCAATCGCGCTTTGGGCTTTGTCTGCCCTGTTTGCCCATCAAATTGTCGCCTGCAATCCGCGGGAACAATGTTCTGGAAGCTGGGATGGAGAGGTTGCAACACCTGTTATTGCTGTAACGGACTCGGAGGGAGGGCTAGCTCATTTTGGTAACTGTGATCCCAGGAATGCAAACCGTAGCATAATTTCAACACAAAAACCCCGAAGAAAAAGAAGAAAACCAAAGCCAAAAAAACGAAGAAAAAAAGCAAAAAACATTCAATAGCAATGAACGATCGGCGGCGAGATATAAGAGAAGGCAAAACGCCATCAACAAGATACACGGAACCAAATTAAAGATGAAGAAGCTGGCCCAGGGGCTGCGGCCGAGGGGATGGGGGCTTGCGGAGGCAGCAGCAGCCTCAGCAGTCGAGTATCTGTGTGCGCCAGTCTATGTGGCTGCCACATAAATTTCTGGCCTCTCCTCTTCTTTGGTGGCGAGTGCGTGTGTGTGTGGCAACTCATTACGTTCGTGTATCTGTGTCCAATGTATCTGTGTCCGTGTGCTCATGGGGCGGAGCTGCTTAAGGCGCTCATTTGTGAATGAACACACCGTGAACAAGCCAGATACGACTACGCCGACCAGGCCAGACCAGAAGACCATCCCGAGGCCCAGACAACAATCGCTCCAGCACTTAATGAGCATGAATAAATGGCATCGTATCTTTCAGATACAGCCGCTAGTGGCGGCGGGAGCGGGAGCTGAGCTGAGCGGAAGCCAGAGCGAGACAGCAGCCTCGGCATCATAATCACGATCATATAGATCGCGCGCTCTTTACCTTTTGTCTTAAAAAAAAAAAAAAACTTAATAAAACCCGAAAAAGATCTAAAAACCCTTTGAAGAAAAAACACTAAATAAACTAATAGAACTCGCGATAAAAAGCCACAGATTAGTTTCTGTAATTAGATTTGGTTCAGCATTGATTTATGTGAATATTAATGGGCGACAGTTATAAACCGAAATTGAATTTTAATGGCAACCTGTAATGCTGCACAGGAAGAAATAAAGTAGAGTTTTCCAGATCTATTTTATGAGATACGTTTTGAAAAAATATTCAAAATAAAGCCAAGAGTTTCTGGAAATGGTTAATATTCATATGAACTCTTAAGATCTTCTACTTCAAAAGTAAATTAATTTTTATCCTCTAACATTATTCATAGACCTTCTTAGACTCACCTTCAAAATAGATTAATTTTTGTCCTCAGACATAGACCTAACATTATTCAAAGACCTTCTTGAAACTCTTTTCCGGCCATGTACTAGCACCTCCAAAATAGACGAACCGGAAATGCCCAGATCATTCGCTGGCCAACTGGAGGCCAGAACAGTGATTCAGAATCTGTATTCTGCCAGTGCTCCTCTGGGCCAGCTCAGCCTCTAGGCCTGCTCCATGGACAGATGCCGGGCAGATGCCAAAGAGCAGATGGAACGCCATTTTCTGTGCGCCATGGCGCGTCCGCATCCAACGGCGTCTCCGTCTGCTTTTAATTTCTTTTAATGGAAGTTGTTAACATGGCTGCTGCTGCCTCGCCCGAGTCCTCTCCCCCATCTCTGTCTCCTCCCCCTGCCCCATCATCGTCAGCATTTTGGATCCCACCATTCCCACCAACGCCATGGGTTGCGGCTGATTTGCTCTTTTTTTTTCCTTTACTTTTTCGTTGGTGTTTTCGATCATAAAACTTCGATATGAAACTTGAATTTTTGTTTCTTTTTTATGCGCTTACACGGGTCGCGGGCACATGGCTTATGTAATGAGTTTTGAAGCCGATGGCAGAGGAAGGGATAAGGCAGGCGTAGGAATCTCCACAAG